ACAGAGAAAGAGAGAAACAGTGAAATTAACTTGATAAACAACAGTGATAAAGAGAAAATTTTGAAACATCCAGGGTAAAATACATATGTGGGGAGGAGATGAGAACAGTTTGTAAGTAACAAAGCAAGCCAGAAGTCAGATGAATGACATCTTAAAATTGCTTTTAGGGCTGGGGATGTGGCTCAAGCGGTAGCGCGCTCGCCTGGCATGTGTGCTGCCTGGGTTCGATCCTCCAGCACCACATACAAACAAAGATGTTGTGTCCACCAATAACTAATAAATAAATAAATATTTTTTAAAAAAAATTGCTTTTAAAAACTATCAAACTAGGATTCAATACCCACCAAATATCTTTCAAACATTAAGATGAAAATCAAAGTATTTCAAAAGTAAAAACTGAATGAATTTGCTACCAGCACAGGTACACTATGAGAAATATACAAGGAATTTCCTCTGCTTGAAAGAAAAGGATGCTAGAGGAAATCTTGGATCTACAGAAAACAATGAAGAGTGTCAGAAATGGTAAATGCATCAGTAAACAGTAAATTTTTTTCTTATTTTTTTAATCTACTTTAAAGGTAACTATGAAGAGCAAAAACCAGTGACCAAGGGGATCCAAGATGGCGAGCTAGAGGAGGCTGCATTCTGTGTCACTCTGTGACCTGGGATTCTAGGAGTGGAAATGTTGCTTCTCTGAAAGTTATTAGAGGACCCCCAACAAATGCTCCTGCACAGGAATCCCGGCCTCCAAGCCCATGCAAGTCTCCAGATCTCAGCATCAACACAGGACTCTGCGCCAATTGCCCACACAGGTCCACTGGCCACCATGCCACAACAGGGCCACCAGCCACAACCCCACCAATGTGGAGCACACCCCAGTAGCCTCCATCTTGGGACACTGCAACCAATGCCATAGTCCCCTACACAAGATAGTCTGCACCTGGGGACACAGGACAGGGTCTGGAGACAGCCACCAGTCACAACACTGCATGCCACAGAGCTGCATCTCTGAACACCCCACTCAATGCCACCACCTGGCCCAACCCAACCCAACACCCCATCTCTGAAGGCAGCCACCTCCATCTTGGAACACCTTTTTTCCCACCTTTAATTGGGGAAACTCCCAGCTTGAAATGTTTTATGGGACCCTAGAAGCAATATCAAGGTACCTATAGTCCCCAACACCCCCCTCCCACAGCCACTAACAGCCACTAACTGGGCACAGTACTTACAGCTACTCGGCTGGTCCATAGCTCACAAAGCCTGGCCCTGAACTGCCCAATATAAAACAGCTCTCCACAATGGGTGTGCATCCCCTACAGCACATCCCACAAGTCCTCTGGAGACAGAGGTTCCTGGTTGGGAAGTAGAAAGGGAGAGGTGAGTGAGATACAATTTAGAGACTAAATAAGAGACCAGGAATTATGAGGCCTACAGGTGATATAAGATAAGATATGAACAGGCCCCAAAGAAGATCCTGGGGTGCAGTGTCCATCAGGGACTGGCAAGTGCTATACCCTACCTCCAGGAGCTGTGCCCCTAAGACCAACCCTCCCACCCTAATAACTTTCACCATCCTGAGAATGGAGATACCAGCAAACAACAGACAGCCCCACCTATTGGATGAGAAGGGAAGCAGGAAAGACATTGAACTCCAACAGAAAAAAAAAATGTGTTTTTCTTTGAGATTTTTTTCTTTTCTTTTCTTTTCTTTTTAATTCTTTTCTCTCCTTCTTCTCCCTCACTCACATCCCCAATATTTTTTAAACCAAGTACTTTTCATGAATTAGGCTACTGAGAACTGGGACATTTGAATAGTAGATTACAGTTGTGTTGTATACCCTTGTATAGCCTTTCTTCTAACTTTTGTTATGTTTCTTAATTCTTATATATGTTGGGTTTTTTGTACTCTCTCTATTGTCTTCCCACTTACTTGTCTCCCTCAAATCACTTTCTCTCTTTTCTCCTGCTACTAGCCAACTTCTTTAGATTCCTCTTTCAAACTTCCTAAGATCTAATCGCTCTATATCCTCACCTCCTATCTCCTCAACATCTCATCCTATACCTCACCCCCAGTTCTTTGTCCACCTTCAGAAACTGTAGATCCTTTTGCAAACCTACACTTTATATTGTAGATAATATTTAACTCACAATTTCTGTCTATTGTGACAAAACTGTAAACTCATAATAGAAGCTATTTGGTTTAAGGCTGAATATTGTTTGTATTGGGATCTATTAATATTGTCCTCCACCTAAAATCAGAGGTGTTGGAAACCTGCAGGAATACCATTAATCTGTAGCATAAAAACAGTAAGAACTTGGGTCTTCAGTGCTAGAAGGGAAGACATAAAAATAACATTAAAAAAGGGAAGAAAGTGCCTTAAACAAACAAGTTACTACATTATTAGAATCCATGGCCAGCACAGCAGAAGAAATTACAGAGAAAAAGTTCAAGATGAGGAATGATATAAGAGCAAATACAGGCAGCAAAACATTATTTCACCAAAGAGCTACATAAGCAAATACAGGAAGCAAAAAATTACTTCGGTAAGGAGATAGACATTCTAAAAAAAAAAAATGAAAATCCTTGAAATGAAGGAAACAATAAACCAAATTTAGAACACAATGCAAAGCATCACTAACAGATTAGATCATTTGTAAGACAGAACTTCATATAATAAAGACGAAATATATATAATCTTGAAAATAAAGTTAAGATGGTAAGAAACCATGAGCAGAACATTCAAGAAATAGGGGTTACATAAAAAAGACCAAATTTAAGAATTATTGGGATAGAAGAAGGCATAGAGTTAAAGGAATGAACAATCTATTCAATGAAATAATATCAGAAAATTTTCCAAACATGAACAATGAATTGGTAAATCAAATACTAGAGATTTACAGAACACTGAGTGTATAAAATCACAACAGATCTATAACAAGGTGAATTATAATGAAAATACCTAGCATACAGAATAAGGAGAAATTTTTTAAAACCACAAGAGAAAGGAATCAGATTACATATAAGGGGAAACCAATTAGGATCTCTGCGGATTTTTCAACCCAGAATCTGAAAGCTAGAAGATCCTGGAAAAACATATACCAAGCTCTGAAGAAAATGGATGCCAAACAAGAATCTGACATCCAGCAAAATTAAGCTTTAGATTTGATGATGAAATAAAACCCTTTCATGATAAACAAAAGTTAAATGAATTTACAAGTAGAAAGCCTGCACTTGGCAAAATATTCTATGAGGTGCAAATGAAAATCAGCAAAGGGAAATATTACACTAAAGGAAAAACAAATCAAAAGAGAAACCAAGTCAATTTAAATACCAAAAATATTCAGAAATATAAATCATGTCTTAATAATAACCCTGAATGTTAATGGCCTAAATTCACCAATCAAAAGACATAGCCTGATAGGTTGGGTTTAAAAAAAAAAAAAGACCAAACAATATGCTGCCTTAGAGAGTCTCATCTCGTAGTAAAAAACATCCACAGACTGAAGGTTAAAGGCTGGAGAAAAACATACCACTAGCATGGACTGTGTAAACAAGCAGGGATTTCCATCCTCATATCAAATAAAGAAGACTTCAAGACAAAGTTAATCAAAAGGGATTTAAAAAAGGACATTTCATACTGTTTAAGGGAACCATACATCAATGAGACATAACAATTATAAATACATATGCCCCAAACAGTGGAACATCTACATTCATCAAACAAACTCTGCTGAAGTTCAAGAATCAAATAGACCACAATACAATAATTCTAGGAGACTTTAATACATCTCTTTCATCACTAGACAGATCTTCCAAACAAAAGCTAAACAAAGAAACTATAGAATTTGATAATACTTAACAGACATATATAGAATATTTCATCCATCAATGAGTAAATACATTTTCTTTTCATCAGCACATGGATCCTTCTCTAAAATAGACCACATCTTGGGGCTGGGGTTGTGGCTCAGTGGTAGAGTGCTCACCTAGCACATGTGAGGCCCTGGGTTGAATCCTCAACACCATATAAAAATAAATTTTAAAAAAACTAAAGGTATTGTGTCCAACTATAACTAAAAAATGAATACTAAAAAAAGACCATATCTTATACCATAAAGCAACTCTTAGAAAATACCAAAAAAGTAGAGATACTACCCTTCATTTTATCACTTCACAATGGAATGAAATTAAAAATCAATTATAAAATAAAAAATAGAAGCTACTCCAACACCTGGAGACTAAATAATATGCTATTGAATGAGCAATGGATTACAGAAGACATTAAAAAGGAGATTTAAAATTCTTAGAAGTAAATGAGAACAATGATAAAACATATGAAAATCTCTGGGACACTATCAAGGCAGTACTAACAGGAAAGTTCATTGCATGGAGTTCATTCTCTAAAAAAAGAAAAAGTCAACAAATAAATGACCAACATTACATCTCAAAGACCTAGAAAAAAAGATGAACAAATCAACACCAAAAGCAGTAAAGGAAAGGAAATAAGTAAAATCAGAGCTGAAATCAATGAAATCTAAAGAAAAGAAACAATTGAAAAAATTGACAAAACAAAAAGTTGTTTCTCTGAAAAAAAATAAATAAAAATTGATAAATCCTTAGCCATGCTAAAAAGAGAAGGAGAGGAAAAACTCAAATTACTAACATCCATGATGAAAAAGGTAATATCATGATGGACACTATAGAAATACAGAAGATAATTGGAAATTATTTTGAAAATTTGTACTCCAATAAAATGAAAAAAGTCAAAGGCATAAACAAATTTCTACAGTCATATGATTTGCCCAAACTGAATCAGGCTGATACACACAAGTTAAATAGATCAATTTCAAGCAATGAAATAGAAGACACCATAAGAAGCCTACCAACTAAGAAAAGCCTGGGACCAGATGGATACACAGCCAAGTTCTAAAAGACCTTCAAAGAAGAACTAATATCAATACTCCTCAAATTATTCCATGAAGTAGAAAAAGAGGGAACACATCCAAACTCATTCTGTGAGGCCAATATAACACTGATCCCAAAACCAAAGACACAAGCAATGAAAGAAAACTTCAGACCAATCTCTCTAATAAACACAGATGCAAAAATTCTCAATAAAATTCTGGCAAATCAAATACAAAAACATAGTAAAAAATATAATGTATCATGATCAAATGGGGTTCTTCCCAGGGATGCAAGTTTGGTTCAACATATGGAAATCAATAAATATAATTCATCTCATAAATAGACTTAAAGATAAAAATCATATGATCATCTCAATGGGTGCAGAAAAAGCATTTGACAAAATACAGCACCTTTTATGTTCAAAACACTAGAAAAACTAGGGATAACAGGAACATATCTCAACATTGTAAAAGCTATCTATGCTAAGCCTCAGGCCATTCTAATGAGGTCATTAACCTCATTCTAAATGGAGAAAAATTAAAAGCAAACCCTCTAAAAACTGGAACAAATCAGGAATGCCCTCTTTCACCACTTCTATTTAACATAGTTGTTGGATCTCTAGCCAGCAATTAGACAGAATATCGCCATCTATCCCAGTTGGTGAGCTAAAGCTGGGTTCACAAATCTGACTGTTCAAATAACTTAAGAATAACAGCAAAGAAAGCATGCAAACACATAGACGTACCTTTTCAAAATCCTGGATGGCTCTCCAAACTTAGGGGTCCATGGAAAGAAAAATAGAGAGAGCCACTGGAATTCTTTTTTTTTTTTAAAGAGAGAGTGAGAGAGGAGAGAGAGAGAGAATTTTTAATATTTATTTTTCAGTTCTCGGCGGACACAACATCTTTGTTGGTATGTGGTGCTGAGGATCGAACCCGGGTGGCACGCATACCAGGCGAGCGCGCTACCGCTTGAGCCATATCCCCAGCCCCTGGAATTCTTTATTCTTATATAGGGGACACACAAGGAGAGGTTCTGTGGAACATTCTATCCCAAAAAGGGCAAAGGGGTAGAATTACAAAGGAACAGGTGAGTGGAGCTTAATCTCAGCAGGTGAAGCCAACTCCTGGAGCCCAGCCTCATTATCCTAGTGGAGAAAAAGCCCAAGTTATTGCTGGGTGCAATAATTGTTCAGTGTATCTTGCTCAGGTCTTAAGGGCATGTATTTCCAGAGTGGCTCCTGATATAGCCTCCCTTTCTTAATATAGAAAAGCAATTGAGGAATTATATCTTCCAGTTACTGGACTCTTGGTCCGAGGTTGTCATGATCTACTATTGAAACACAAAAGGTATTAGTAGAAAACATTATTTCAATAACATATGATATAAAATGTTTTAGCATATTTTTAGTATTAACTTTGAAAGATCCAGGTTATTATTATTACTCTGCCAAACACTCATCAGAAGATTCTTAATCTTTTCCCAATTTTATTGGAAAGCATTGGGTTGGCCATAGTAACAGACATATTTAATTGGCATGGCATTTAAGCCTTTCTTCAAACCATATAGCAGAGAGCTCATTGTATTATTCATTATAGTGGTTCCAATCTTACCATCAGCACTTATCTGACTATGAAGGACCTTGGAATAACTTATGTCAAATTATTAAGAAAATTCATTTTGTAAGTTTAGAAACATAGCCACAAAGGCTTCATTGTAGGAACAATGAATAATATTTAAAGCAGTTAGTCACTTCAAGGATCATGAGATCAAGAGCTTACCTAGGCATGCACCTGTTTCAAAGCCTGACCATTAACTTCAGCATGCTAGCTGGCAATAGGACAAAGAAACATTGATGAAGGATCAGTGTCTTTCTTCTCTACTATAACTACTGATAAAGTTAGGCAAGTTGCATTTTTTATATGTTACAGGATATTTAATCATTCTTTCAATTCTCACAGTTAAGGAGTCTTTTAGGTCTGGCAGTAATGTAAAAATTCTGAGGGCAGAAGTCAAACATCAAAACATCTTTTTGGGTGCCATCTCACTGAGGGTTGAAGTTTCTAGGAGACCAGCCTAAAATCTATTCACTTTTTTTAGACAACTCATGTTCTACTGGCAAGACACTTGCACAATCCATCCACTTAGGAAAGCCAATTTCTATGGTAGAATGATTAGGGCAATAATACAATGGTAGGTATATTATGTAAATAACTGGCCTACATAGAAAAACTCTATTTCAATAATATTTTTATTTTGACTATTGTCCAGATATATAGTTTTAATTTCTAATGAACAGCATAATTGGCTGATTTAGGTTTCTCATATACTGCCTTTTCCTCAAAAGATACTTCCAGACAGCTTGTTTACCATAGGTATAACTGATCATTATAGTCAGTACAATTAATCCATTTAATCTAGTTTCATGGGTGGACACTGTGATGCACTTTAAAGGTGGACCTGAGAGATGGGTCCATAAAAGTCTCTCCATAAATTTTATTCACATGATAAGCCTATGAAGCTGCATGGCTATAAATACTGCAGCTGGAAATGTACTTTCCTGTGTCAGGTTTTTCATTTTTGTGATGACAGGTTTAAACTTTCCTTTGAAATCTGATGTAATTTACTGAATTATGTTCAGCAGCAGTAAAACTCTCAATATTACAATTTAAGAAAAGTTTTGAAGTATTTGTAATATCTAGTGTGTGCATGTAAGGGTCCTGTTTTTCCCCCTTTATTTAATAAGTTGAATAAAAGGCTGGTATAAGTCATAATATCATTAGTTTAAGTTATAGACAATAGTGCAAGTATTTAAATAATAAGAAAATATTTAACATCTTTAGTTGGTCTTGAATTTTAACAAAAGTCATTTAAAGGGACTATGGTAAAAAGAAACTTAGTCTTTATTAATTGTATGACTTGATTTTGGTTTTAATAGAATTATCAAAAATGGAAAATATAATAAGTTGTATGTGAAATTTTGTACTTTGAAATTAGTTCTAGATTAACTTAAATAATTATCTTAATTTGTGATGAGGCTAGTGACAGAGTTTTTAATTTAGGAGCTGTGGCCTTTACTAGGGGCATGAGAAATATATAAACATCTATCCAAAATAGGAAGTACACATGCTAAATAAGCCTAGAGTAGATATTTTGTGTTTTTTATTTTTACAAATAAAAAAAGATTATCCTTTTATTTACCAGTCTATGAAAAACTGTCACTATTGTTATCAAATCCAATGTTGACATAAGTATGGAGAGTTAGTATCTCAAATATTAATGGGTAAACACAAGTCAACAGTATTGTTTAAGACAGTGATCTAATTTAGAATTTTATATGACATTGAGTTGGCAATAACACTTTTAGGGATCTTATGTCAAAACAGTCTGTGTTTAAAGAAAAGTTGTATGAACATCCTTAATAACTTTACTTAATGTAGTAAAATTAGCTCTATCAGTTATGTATAATTTATGGCTTTACTAATTTCAAAAAATATCAATGTATGTAGGACATCATCTCATATTATTAAAGTTGAGAAAAGGTCTATCATGTTAAATTTCTTATTAAAACAAGTTATCAGCTGTTGAGCTGATTTATTTATGGGTGTCTGTCTAATATTTTAGGAGTAACTATTTTTAGGGTTATTTTCCTCAGTGACAAATTTTTGTCAGAGGCTTGAAGGTCCTGTTTCAATGTTTTGAGGCTTTCAAAATCTGTTTATAACTTAGAAGAGGAGTAAAATTTTTAACCAGGAAGCTGATTTTTCTTGGGGTAAGATTAGCATTTTAATCTCTTTCTGTCTATGTTTTCATTTTCTTTCATTTGGTTCCATTCAACTATGATGTAACATCCAAACTTGGTTAGGACTAGTTAACCTTATAAATCCCTTGGAATGTCTAGGGCTAACTGGATGATAAACATTTGAAAATGGGTGGCCCCCTATAAATCCAGGGTGCTGTACTGTCTTTTTTTGGGCCTCTCTATGAAAATAGAATTTTTCTAAAGATCTATTATAATCATTTGCTAGGCATCCTGTTTATCTGTTGGATTCCTGTCTTGGGGAATTGTCTGTGTTCCAGACAGACCAGCAGGGTTGTCCCTATGTTGTTATTGGGACACAGTTAGATAAATCTCCTTTAAAACTGTTTTTAAGATGGCCTTCTATTTTAAAGTTTAGCTAAGTCATATATAATATCTCTCTGGCAAAGGTTAGACACCTGGCATATATTTTGAAATATTACAATATATGAATTTGGATCTCTCAAAAATCTCCCTGAATTTGTTCTGGTCTATATTAAGTTTTAGAGGTCCCCGTTGATATTTCTTTCTAGTAGATAATTTTTAAGGCTTTCTCTGTTAATAGTAATAGGCTAGATATGAAAATGAGATACTTTTATTGATCATTGTAATTACCTAATATAGAGACCAGGTGATCCATTTTGATGTTACATGTAAATGAACAATTTAAAAAGAACTGTCGATCTTTTCTTGAGAGAGGTCTCAAAATATACCAATATCTCAGAATGTTACCCTTTAAATAGATGTCTCTTAATTATCTCTTAAAAATTGATTAAAGTTACTTCCCAGTGTAGGGATAAGTATATAAGTCTTACTGTTTCATGGATTATAGGTCCAGTTAGAGAATTTATAACAATACAAATTAATTTCCCACAAAGTTTGAAAATTTTTTTGATCAAAACTAACATATGACTTTAATTTGAAGAGCTCCAGTTTTAATAAAATGTTCTCCTAAATCCCACAAATATCCAACAAACAGAAGTACTATGCAGAATCAGCAGTGATTATTCCTGATGTCTTTGAATCAATCAAATTTAGTCTCCAAGAAGAAGTGTCAAAATTGGAATTTAAGTCAATAATTTAAAACATTTATTGTTTGATCAAGGATGTATGAATTTAATTCATTAAAAATTTATTCTTGTTCAAACAGCAAGAATTATTAGGAAGAAGATTGATATTTTAATAAGCTCTGTCATGTCAGATTGTAGGCAAAAATCTTGGCTTACATCAGCATAATAAAATCAGGGAGAAAAGCCTGAAATATCCTAGAATTAATCAGTTCAAATTTTTATAGTAAGTCCATTATATATAAATCTGTTTTTCAATTATTTTAACCTTCTATATCATCTGTCTAGATAATGATATGAAGATTTCCCTATTTAGGAAAACTGTTTTATCATTAAAATCTAGAATAGAAAGACTTTTGTTTTGCCCAAAGATGATTTCTTTCTTTTTCTTAGGACCTCCAATGTGTGCTTCCTCTCTGTACAAGTGTCTTCTTCTCCTTTTAGAATTTTTCTTGATTATATTTTGGAGCAATTTCTGTAAATCTTAGAATCTAAACAAATTTATTGTACCTTGATAAGAAGAACTATTTCATTGAAAATATAGTTAAAGCCCTTAGACATTTTGGTTGACAGAATCATATCTGTTTATCAACTTATAAAAATTTGTACAATAATTTGAGAATTAGAGATTACTTGATGGTTGCATTATCTCTTGAAAGAAAAAAAATTATAGTAAAATACATTTATCTTAAATATTTGTTGAAGGATAAATATTTGTTAAGATAAATACTTGCTGAAGGAAAATAATTAGAAGCAAATAGATATATATAATTAAACAATTAGACATATATTTTAATTATTATATGGATTAAAGCATATAGATTATTTAAATAAATGGAAAAATATGTATTAAAAATAAAATTTAGAATTACAATTATCTTATGAAACCATATGGTTCTTAAAATATTTTGATCCATTTTAACTTATTGTTAACTAGGAGTAAACTCTTATC